CGTACCCCGTTACATCCTCCCCCACTTAGGTTTGGTTTACCGACCAATTACAAGAAGGAGACAGAGTCACAAACTCTCATCTGCGAGGCGAAAGGGGTTCGACAAGCTGTGGGGACGCGGCTGTGGCTCATTTCACAGTTGGAGCCTTGAGCAAAAGCGCTCGTCTTCTCGGTCTCAACTTCGACCACGTCATGCCTCGCGGTTCTGCGGAGGGCGGTGCGAAAGCACCCGCCAAGCTGCTGTCCGAAAGGCACACGACAAGAGCTCTAAGCGTTATAGCAAAGGCTCGGCACTCAAGGGGGCTACTAAGGTAGCCTCCGAGGCGGTTGATGCATCGGGTGACTCGGTTGCGAGCAAGCGGCAAAGCTCACACCGTAGTCGATCGCCCTCAATGTCCCCAGACGACCGTCCGAACCCACGGTTTGCGTGCCGTGCGTACAGTCATGATTCTGAGGACGAGGCCAAGGCCCGGAGCTTCCACAGTGTGTCTGGGAGCTTCGTGGAATAGCACACTCCAGTGCCGAGCAAGCACAGCGTTGGCAGCCTGCACTCGCTCGCTAGTGATCTCGTTGATCACGAGTCAAAGACGCCTGAGTGCTCTGAGAGCCATGCCGACGAGGCGAAGGGCTCACCCAATGCTGGCGGCGACGAGGGGGCAAACCTCCCGAAGAACCTTTCGCTCGCCGAGGGCTTTGATCGTACTCAGGCTGCTAAAGCCACAGAGGACAAGCACTCTAGGAAGCGCATGGCTTCTAGGTCTCTACTCCGCGAGGGGAAGGAGACCCGTCCGTACTCCTCGATATTCGACTGATCGGACGAAGAGGAGGAGGATGTCATCGACGAGCCCCGGCAGATCACAAATGATCTCGACAGGCAGCAGGAGTTGCTCCAAGCTACCCGGCAAAATCCTGGGGGATCGGAGGCGACGCCTGTCGTCCAGGGAGGCTCCATCAACCCGAGAAGTTATTGGCCTCCCGAGGAGAGCTTTGGAGCCGACCTCTTCTTGGCGGAGCTCAAGGCTCCTCGTGGGCTTATTGGTGGCCACACCTTTAAGGGCACTTACGAGCGTGCCCTGGTCCACAAGGAACAGTTGTTCACGGACAACGTGGAGGCAGACCGGTGCGTGCTTCTCGCGCACCACCAGACCCCTCTCAAGGACTTCACGACTTGTCGTAAGAAGCCCGAAAACCGGGGTGGTCTCTACCCTGT